GACTCCGCTCTCTCGCTCGCTTCCCTCCTTCAACCCGCCTGTCGGCCCCACCGGTACCTTCCCCCGCCACTGCCTCACTACGCGTAGGGCCTCTCCGCGCAAGCGCGCTGGGCTTGCCTAATTCGGAAGCGTCCCGCCAGCCGGACCGACCCCTCTGCCTCTCTGCCCCACCTCCGGCAGCGGGGCTCCGCCCCCTGCGCGCTATTGCCGGGTCTGCCGCCATCTTTGGAAGGTCCACGCCCGGCTGGCTGCAGAAGCCTTAGCGTTCTGGTAGACGCCCCGCGGGCGCCATGACAAAAAGGTCGCGGCGGGTCAGTTTGCCGCCTCCTGCTACAAGCAGGTGGTCTGAGATTAAAAGGGCAGAAAGAAGTGTGGATGTCTGGTTGCTGGCGAGTATTCAGCAGCCATCTAACGCTATACACATGGTGTGCGGACTAGTCATTGTTAGGAAGCCGAACTTAATACTGGTGTGCCCTATTTTAAGCAATCACCAAAACAGAAAGTATTTGCTGCTAATAAAGAATCCCCCAAAGGATCCTTGAAGTAAACGAAATATTTCCCATCTCTTAGTGTGAAACATTTAAAGAAACCTCTAATGCTGTACTCCCCATGAATAAGGTGAATTGCAGTTAACAAAATCTATTATATATAATTCAAGCAGTCGTTCAGAAGGGCATCTGCGTGTAAAGCTAACACGTGAAATCCAAACTGGAAAAATCTTTTGTTTTTGTTTTTGTAATAGGGTCTCGCTGTGTAGCTCAGGCTGTCCTTAAACTCACTATGTAGCCCAGGCTGGCCTCCTATTTTTGGTAATCCTCCTTCCTCAGCCTCCCGAGTTCTGAGAGTAAAGGCGCTTTGCCACCACGCCAAACTTCAAGGAAAAATCTACTTTATCCCACTTTATGACTCATTCTTTTAGATTTGTGCCTTGTCAGTAATACAGTATCGATTAAAGACATGGAAGAGAAGAAAGACTAACACCTCAAATTTTTCTGTTCCTTCAATAAGTGTTCGTTAAGCCTGTACTAACTTCATCCCTGGACTGTAGAAGACTCAGTGTGTAGAAGACAGGTCTGTTCCTACTTACAAAGGAAGGGCTTACAGTTTCTGTGAGCTCCAGGTAAGGTAAGCAGAAGCATGTTCCAAATGGCTTTGTTAAATATATATATATTATAAAAATTACAGAATTAGCTGGGTATGGTAGTGCACATCTGTAATCCCAGCACTCAGGAGGCAAAGGCAGGAGGATGGCCTCATGTTCAAGGCCAACCTGGGCTACATAGTGAGTTCAGGGACAGCCTGAACTACAAGTGAGACCCTGTCTGAAAACAAAAATGAATGAACAAAACACATTGCCATTAATCTCCCTCAAAACACAGCTCCTAGCTTCAAAAACATCTATTCAGTATTCTTGTCACTCTATTTATTTATTTATTATTTATTGTTTTTGAGACAGGGTTTTGCTACGTTGTAGTTCAAGCTGGCGTTGAACTCACAGAGATGCATCTGGAATGCTGGGATTGCAAGTGTACGCCCCCACACCCAACCTTTTGTTGTTGTTGTTGTTGTTGTTGTTTGAGGCAGGGTCTCACTATGTAATTGAAACTAACCTGGCCCCAACCTTTGTTTTTTTTAGATGAAATCTTGCTAGCTGGGCATGGTGGCACATGCCTTTAATCCCAGCACTTGGGAGGCTGAGGCAAGAGGATTGCTGTGAGTTCGAGATCAGCCTGGGCTATATATAGTGAGTCCCAGATCAGTCTCAACTACATAGTGAGACCCTGTCTCAAAAACAAAACAAAACAAAAAACAAGAGAAAATCTTGCTAATTCAGGCTGGCTTCAAACTCTCAGTGAGGCCCATGCTTCAGTGCTGGGTTACAGGCGTCAGAGATGTCAAATTAGCATATGCATAGAAAAGACTGGCATGCAGAAAAGAGCCACAGCTATAGATATAAAATTGGAGAGTTCGGCATTGGCATTGAGTTTCCTTGAAGGTTGTTGGGAATTTTTTGGGGGGGTGTATCAGGGATCAAATTTGGGACCTTGCACTTTCAAGGCAGCCTGCAGCACCCATGAGCTAAATCCCCAGCCCAAGATGTATTTTTAAAGCCTTAAAAATGAGCCATGAGAGCCAAGTATGGTGGCACACGCCTGTAATCCCAGCACTCAGGAGGCTGAGGCAGGAGGCAGGAGGATCACTGTGAGTTCAAGACCAGCCTGGGCCACATAGTTCCAGGTCAGTCTCCACTACATAGTAAGACCCTGTCTCAAAAAACCAAATAAAGAAAAAAAAGTCATGAATGGCTGGGGATTTAGTTCAGTGGTTCTGCTGCCTGCCTTCCAAGCTCAAAGGAGTTTGATCCCTGATACAAAAAAAAAAAAAAAAAAGCCATGAAGACAGTCATTTGGAGGTCAGGTAGAGGAGAAGGAAACAGTAATGGAGGCTGAAAGAGAATGGAAAAAGAGAAGACCCAATGTGTGGTGTCTCAAAAGCCAAGCTAGGAAAATGTTCCCAAGAGGCCAGAATGGTGACTTGCCCCATGCTACAGAGAGGCAGAGGGAAATGGGTTGAGACCCTGGAAACTGTGAAGTCTTTCTGCCCTTGATAGAGGATTTTGATTCACCAGTGCTTCCACCAGGCAGAGCAAAGTGGCTTAAAGGCCACAGGTAGGAGAGGAAGTGGAGGTCTCCATGCTGAGTGCTTCTTTGAGGTTTGTGGTCACGAACTGAAAGTACTAACAGTGGGTCCAGTTGAATTTTGTTTTGTCTTTTTCCTGTAATGCTCAGTGCTCAGGTGCAGTTGTGGCCAGCATTTGGGTTCATTCAGCGTTGAGGATTGGCCACACAAGGAGAGAGGGAGAGACAGAGGCAGACAAATGTTTTGAGGATCTTTGGGGAAAATGAGTATAGTCATGAAATGTGCTCTAAGCTAGGAAGAGAAAGCAAAAATGAGGGAGTTGTTTTATATTTTTTGTTTGTGGAGTGTGTGTGTGTGTGTGTGTGTGTGTGTGTAGCCCACGATGGCCTTAAATTCACAGTCCTCCTATCTCAGCCTCTCAGTGCTGAGATTATAGGCATGTGCTACCACACCAGTGGAATTTATTTTAAGTGGTACATGTAACAGAGCTTGATGAGGTTGGAGAATTGTGTGGAATGGACACTAAAGCAAGTGAGCTGGAAGACAGGAAATGGTGGTCAGGGTGGGTGGCTTGAAACAACTTAAGTGTGGTGCGGTTATGGGTGGTGAGACTATCAGGTGGGAACAGGAGAGGCTGGCCAGCAGGAGGGAGGAGAGGAAGTCAAGCAACAAGTGTCAGGCTGCATAGGTACCAGGTACCAGAGTGTTTGCCCACAGGAGTAATTACTTCCAGGAGGGTGAAGGCAAAGGCTGTGAAGCATGTGGGAAATCACTGATGAATGCATCTGCAGGTAACAGCAAGAAAGGGGAATAACAAATGGGACAGCTGGGTAGCATTGATCTCAGAAGAGATAGGGTTAGGGGGAGAAAAAGAAGGCCAAGAATTAGCAATGGGGAACAAGAAGAATGTGCTGAGCCTGCTGGCCCTGAGCTCCTCGGAATGTGGAAGAAAAATTTCCTTCTCTTGAAAGGGCAAAGGAAGCTGAGTCCTCAGAAAAGAGCCAGGTTCAGGCAAGGCCAGAAGGTGAAGAAGAGCCGAGCAGCATCCCAAACTGTCCTGATCCACTGTCTCCTCCCCATACTGCTCTGGCATAACCAGTGGTTTCCAATCAGGTTGGGTCACAAACAGGAGAAAAGGAAAGTCGTGCTCCCCATCTGATGATCACCAAGACCCATGGATGCTCCTGAATGCAAGCACAGATGACGGTCACAACCTTCCTGAAGGGTCCCCTGGCCACTGGTCTTGGCTCTCCTCCGCCCCATCCTCTGCAGCCACAACAGAACATTCAAACTGCAAGTCTGTGACTGTCCCACTCCTCTTTAAAACCCTTCAACAGCCTCCCACTGTTTTAGGATGAGGTCCAAGCTCCCCATTAAGATTTAATTGCCCTTCATCAGCTAATGTCCAGAACCCTCCAGTTCAACTCTCTCAGCTCAACTTCTTCCTCTTTTCCCGACACTGTTTCTGACACACTTTATGTCTTTACATTCTCCAAAAGGTTGCCTTGCATTTGCCATTCCAATGGCCTGGCACACTCTTCTGCTAAATGTATGTAGCAAATTTCTACAAATTCATCTTTATTAGCCTTGAGGAAAATAACTTCTCCCTTTTCCAATCACAAAATTAACTTCACCCGTTTGCTACTTCCATCATCTCATTCATTACATTTCTTATCCTAGTTTTATCGTACAGCATTGCAATGGGATTTTGTGTGTTTTACTCCCTCTCCATTGTCTATACACTTGTGATGGCAAGACTCTACTTCAAGTCTCTGTTCTCAGCATTTAATAAACTGTAATGATGCTACACAGTAGGCACTCAACAAATATCTTGTGAATAAGTCAAACCTATAAAATTAATAACAGGATCATCTCCCAAGATTAGAATAGACCTATGCCTATTAAATGCAGGTGTGTATACCTGGCAGAATGTGATACAGGGTGGTGTGTCAAAGCGTTTCCTTTTTTGTTTTTATTTAAGTAATAGGGATTGGACCTAAAGCTTTTACACTGGCCTACAACTCTATCCAGTTTATTTTTACTTTTTGCTTTTAGACAATGTCTATAAATCACTAACTTGCCCAGGGTGGGCTGTTCCTCCTGCCTCAGCCTCCTGAGTGCTGGCATTACAGACATGCCCCACCACGTCTAGGGAAAACGCTTGTATTAAAAAGAAAAAAATATGCCTGGGAGTGTGGCTTAGTGGTAGAACATGTAATAGTGTACTTAGCATGCACAAGTCTGGGTTCATTTCCCAACCCCTCAATGAAAATCTAAACACTTAACAATTTAAGTATCTATTATAAAAGTTAGAAAAACAATATAAAAATAAGTCCAAAGAAAGTTATTAGGACAACCAGATAGCCATATACAAAACAATACAGTTGGATTCCACTTCATAGTATATAAAAAATTAACTAAAAATGGGTTGAGGACTTAAATTTAAGAGCTAAAACTATAAACCTCTTAGAAAAAAATAGGCATAAATCATTGTGATCTAGCATTAGGCAAAGGTCTCTTAGCCAAAGGGGCAGGGGGACCAAAAACAGAAAAAAGAAAAAAATGCACTCTGGAAGGCTGATCAAAAGTCTGAGCTTAGCCTGGGAAACTTAGTGAGACCCTGCCTCAAAAATTTAAAAGCTTTTTAAAAGGCTGGAGAAGTAGCTCAGAAAGGCTCTGGGTTCAATCCCCAGTACAAAAAAAGATAAATAATGAATAAATTGGACATCATAAAAATAAAAATACCTTTTTGGGTATTTTACCCCAGTAAAAAATATTTTTTAATTTAATATGTACATCTTAACCAAGTAGTCAGTTACTCTGACCATCCCTGGGACATGGCCAATGCTCATGGCCGCCCTACTGTCTCCTTCTTTGCCCCCTCTAGGGCTCCCATCACCTCCCCTTATCTCAACCACAAGGTCTGGGACACCTCCACCCCACCACTGACCTCAGCCCAACATCCACTTACTATCCCTCTCAAGCCAAACTACCTCTACCCTGCCCAATGACAGTATCCCACCCCTGATGTGGCTTTATGGGGGTTACAGCCTATTATTTCTAGCCTATTGCAGCACAGCCTCTTAACCTCCATCACCTCCCCTTATTCCCATTCTCACTATGCAGAAGGCAAATGGCTCTTATAGGCTGATAGAAGATCTCTGTGCTATCCTCCCCATATACCCTGTGGTGCCAAACTGCTATTCACTTTTGTCCTCCATCCCTCCATCTACCACTCATTACTCTGTCTTAGATATAAAATATACCTTTTTTGCTATCCCCTTCACCCTTCCTTGCAGTCTCTCTTTGCCTTCACCTGAATAGACCCTGATTACCTATCAGTCCCAACAGCTGATCTGGACTGTCTTGCCACAGGGTTTCCATGACAGCCCTCCTTGGCTCTT